GGCACAAACGAACATTTTGCACATCTATCCAAGGCATTCAAAAAAAGTCACGGAAGTTGACACATTGGACAAAATATATTACAACAGTTTGGCAACTTTTCACACCCCCCACACCCCCAGCTCTTGATGCCCCTGTGTAATTTGAGCTGATCTCTTTAAAGGTTGGGGACACGAGGGAAGATGCAGTTAAATCGCTGTATGTAAATAGCGGATCTCCTCCGTAACGAGTCCCGCGGGTAAAATCAAACCTACCTGCTTGCTACAGTACAAAAGAAGTTCTGCCCACAGTCCTCCCTTAGTGAAAAGGCAGGTGACAGAGCCCATGCTGCTGGATACAAGGCAAAGCTGAACTTGGCTGGAACAAGTCCCTAACCTTGTGATTTTGCACCAGGCTAAGACATATGGTCATGGCAAGGTGTCGAAGGGGAAGATGTCACCATTCTTCTTCAACAGAGAGGTACACAGGACAGAACCATTACTCTGTCACTGTTCTGGGTGAACACAGGTCTGTTTGCATGCGCGAGAAGAAATGGGCTTTGGAAAACGCCAGGAGCCCACATAGGATAGTGCTAACAGCAAGACCTGTGTTAGATGCACGTGTAACTCCGCTCCCCTTATTAGCGAAGCTCAGCTCCTAGGAATTGTACAAGGAACAAATACAAAGCAAGAATGAAAAAAGTTGCTTTTTACAAGTAGCTTCTTTGTTCCTTCTTTTAAAGCTCTGTTCTGATCTGTGGGGGACTGGCTGTCAGGAGGGAGCACTGCAAGATCTCTGCACTGTTCTGGTGGTTGTAGACATAGGCACAGGTCAAACAGACCTTTCCACCCATGGCAGCCTGTGTAAGGTAGGACTGACCACAAGGCTGTGTGGACCTAAAGCAACCTTTGCAAAGAATCCAACTGGGAATCCAGCACAGTTGTTGTTGGAAAAATTCAGTACAGCACTGGCCAAAAAATAAAACAAATACTTGTGGAACGGACTGAAATCCACCTGGAAGAGTTTTGTCCTTTCTTGTTCTCCAGAATAGAAGGAAAGCCTTTGGTTAGGACTAGAATTACTCATAACTGGCAGGACAGGCTTGGCTTTGCTTTGCATTAGCTTGGTTACTGTACAGGGGCAAGTTTGCATTGTGGAGACATGCTCTGTCCAACTAGATTGCCCTTTTGACATCTGGGAGTTCTAGAGGAGTGGACACTTGAATTACATCCGAGATCCTCGCTCTTGAAGAATCTGAAAAAGAAGAGAGCCTCTATAAATAACTCAGGCAAGTTTAGAAGCCAAAGTTCATGATCCAAATCTTTGGCTTTTGTAGAGGAAGGAAAGGTAGTCTAACAAGAGAAGGAATGAGAGTAGCCTGTTGGCTTCTATGCTACTGTACCGAATGACAGGCTGGTTAAAACAGAGTCTCTTCTCTAGAAATGCTTTAGCTGCCTGCCAGGAGTTAAAAATGTCATCTTTTGTTGCTGTCCTGGGGAAAATGCATGGACTGAAGGAGAAAAACAATGTCAGTCCTCTTCCCACAGTATCCTTCAGTCACAAAATCCTCTTTTTTTCCAAGTCTTTCCTCTTTTTTTTTCCCCCTTTGATTTGAATGCATGGTAAACCAGAAAATCTTTTGAGAGAGGGAAGGTCATGCACACAGGAGAAAATATGAAAGCTGGTATACAGAAAGAAATATATGTATATGTTTGTAGGTATACTGCAAATTGTGGATCTCCTGATGTAAGATGTGTTTTTTTTCTTTACATAAGGGAATTCAAGACAACGCATTTGAGGAGATGCCTCACCTTTGCCTTCTCGCTGGGCTCTTTGACAATGCCATTGGTAGAATTGTTGAGTTCCCTAGACACAACACAGAGGAATTCTGCCTGGTCTTCATTTCCATAGTTATATGAAGATCCAATGCTGATTAGCTGTGTGACAGAAGACAGCCAAGGTAAGGATGACTCTATTGGTAAATCTTGACTTCTGCTTTATTCCTGCAATTGCCTTTTCTGCTACAACTGTTCAGAGAGACCTGTTCTGACCTGAAGTGCCAACAGGTCACATCCCTTCCCATATTCCAATGTCACAGTCTTTCCCAAAGTGTGTTTGTAAGGCAAGTATTTACAGAAGCACCGGACACATTTGTACATTTTTTACTGGTACCTGTTCAAATTTCCACCCATCAGACATGGTGGACACCATCTGTGTGAGCTCTTCCTCTTGGCACTGAAGGACTCTGTATACATGCTTCACAGGTCCCTAAAGAATGGAGAATAAAAATGAGGAGGAGTTTAGCAACTGTTGTACTAGTATCAAGCTAGGAAACTAGTTAGCCTTTTACAGGGCCTCCTGCTTTGTCTGCTTGCTGTTTGAGGAAGTTTCAACCATATGGGCTTCCTGAGGTCTCATTCTCGTGACTATCCAGTTGATTCTAAAACTGCTACAAGGAGTTAGCATGCTTTTTAAAATCCTTCCAGGTGCTTATGTGCCAGTGAGAGCAATTCTTTGTTGTCTTTTAAAGCCATTTACTGTTTTTTAAATCAAACGTACTGGGATTTGGACATCAGTTCAGCAGCAGAGACTGATATAAAGGGCAGAACGTGGTTCAGAGAAGGAAGAGTTGAACTACTCCTTACCTCCCAAAACAGTCTGTTTCGTTTCCCTATCTTTGTCTGTAGCACTTTTAACTGTTCATTGTCTTTCCCTGCAGTATTAGTAAGATGACTTAGTAGCCTGTACTTGTGAAACCACAATGGATCATCTATCCCAGCTGTGGTTTGGTTTAACTAAGAACACTGATTGTCACTGTTAGAAACAAACCAAAGAACTTCTACCAGAAGCACCTATGGCCACATCCTCCTACCGTGCTACAGAAAATGACTGACTTCAGTATGCAAAACCCATGTGCATTACTTGAGAGGTTCTGTTCTCATTATCCCGTATCCGCTCCTTCACCAGCCGCACAAGCGACGCAATGTTGTAAAACTCAGCTTCTTCCAGTACCCCTAAGGAAGGAATCAAAAGCAGGCAATCTGTTACTTTATAAAGAGCAGAACAAAGTTCAGCTACAAGACTGCAATACCTGCTACTGACTCCAAATCTTTCCCACGTGTAAGAAAAGCCCTGGGTGCTAAACGGACTGCGCCTCTGACCTCACGCTCCCAGACTGGAAGGAAACAAGCTGCCTCCCTTTGTGGTTAACAGAACATTTAAGAAAGATTATTCCCCTTTCCCTAGGATTAAGAAACCCTGTGGTACAATCTCTAATATCATTCATGCAGCCTCGCTCAAGGGAAGGTCACCAAGGCTCCTTGCTTGTTCAGAACTGCTGTCTGTTTGGGGAGAAGAAATGCTGTTCGAAAAGTGCTATAAAACAGTGCTTGCAGTTCTTCTGTATGTTTCTCATACCTTCTTCTGCGAGCTCCTTGTTTATGATGAGCTTCCCATGTCGGAGGTAGTTCAGTATTGGACCAAAATACGTGGGATCTCTATCGATGAGATACGCTCCTGTCTCATCCTGTTGAGCGTGCACAGAAATGAAGCAGGCACAGTTAAATGGCATGGCATTTCATTTTTAAATTATACACTGAACAGCTTTTCTTTGAGAATCTGGATTCCTTTGCCTGTGAAAAGCATATCTGTGACTCTATGCTTCAGCCAGCATTTTTCTCAGTATCTGAACTCAGCTGTAAATGCTGCAGCTCATAATGCTGGTGGATGTCTCCCAGTCAGTACTTCCACAAACAAGCTCGCATAAGTGAAGACATGAGCAGGGCTTAGTAGTTTTGCTTCACTGCAATAACAAAACACAAAAGCTGGCAGTCATGTTCTGCCTAAATTGGTTTTCCATGCTAGTTTAAATAAGAAACTTGGAAGAACATTTGGATTTCCAGTTCTGATTAACAGCATGTGATAATTCAAAGTACATTTTTCCCCCCCCCCTTTCTTTGAATTACTGGAAATGCCCATTGCAGTGCACCAGTCCTGTCTCTGAACAGTCTCCAGCAGCTGGGCATACAACGTCATCACATTACCAGCAATCCACAATTAAAAGCATTTCCTGAAGCAGCTTGGAAGGGCTGATAAAGCCTGTGTGGCTGTTTTTCATGCCATTTCCTTATATCACTTTAAAGCAATGCAGGTCCTGCTAGGCAGCCTGCTCCAAAGCAATGAAATTCTGGGGTCTTCCAAAATGTCATCTCCTATCTTTGCTGAGACTGGTAACCATTACTATGGCCATAACCTGGATTTAACTTCTACTTAAGCAGATATAAAATGTTGTACAGACACTATAGAAACCCTGCAGTAATAATAACTGTAAAAACCTGTATGTTAACAACCTACAGCGACTGCAGAGCTATATGTCCAGTAAAGCTCTTGAACTGGGATCTTTTCTAAGAGCAGAAGTAAATACAACGGAAAACCACACACATCCTGGGGGCGGCGCATCATTTAAATCTCTGTTTCTGGGGAAGTTTCTCTCCCTGCTGCGTGCAGTAGCAGCAGAAGGGCGCAGGGGCGCTCCGGAGGAACGAGGAGGCGGCGGGGGCTGCAGCAACGGACGCACGACTCGGGGTGGTGCCGGGACTCCGTAGACCCTGGCCGGGCCCGGTGGGAGCGGGAGGTCCGGGCCTCACCTTGTCGGAGCCGAGCTCGGGCCCGTCCTGGCAGCAGAGGCGGCACAAGAAGGACTTGGGCTCCCGGCACAGCGTCTGTCGGGTGCTCACGAAGTACGTTCCGCCCACATTCAGCCGCACCCATTTGGAGGCGGAGGGCGGCCGGGCCGCACCGGCGGGACTCGGGCTCAGCATAGCGCCGGAGAACCCCGGCGCGGCCGAGCGAGGGCTGGGCGGTCCCGGCACTCCCCCGGGGCCCGGACTGGGTGTGCGGCCCCGCGGCGGCCCTTCCGCCGCTGCCAGTTCCGCCATGGCGGCCGCCGTCAGCGCCCCCACGCCGCCATCCCCGCTGCCGCCGCTTCCGGCGCACCAAGCATTTCCGTGCGCGGAGCTGCATGACGCATTTCCGCTAGCGCTGTGCTCTGACTGGCCGACGGGGCACGACTTCCGGTGCGTCGCTCGGCAGCGCCAGAGGACTGAGGTAGCGGTCGGTGAAGGTGAGCGGAGGAGAGGAGAGGGAAGGGGAGGCGAGGCGAGGCGAGGCGAGCGGGAGGCTGGCTGGCTTCCATCCATCGCCCCTTGGTAGGCGGCGTGGGGGTCCAGAAGGAGTCCCGAGTTCCGTGGACTCCGGGGGGCGCCGGTTCCGGGCTCTGCCTGCCGTGACCCGCTCTCCTCTCGCGGCAGCTCAGCGTCATGGCGGCCCGCAGAACTGCCGTCAAGGCCATTGACTGGGCGGCCTTCGCGGAGAGGGTGCCCGCCAACCAGCGCGCCATGTTCAACGCCCTGAAGACCCGCAGCGACGCGCTGTCCGCCCGGTGAGTGCAGCCTGCAGCCTCTCGTGGAGCCGCGCTCCTGGCCGCTGTCTCGTGTTGTAGTTTCCCACGGTGATCCGAGAGACGGCACGGCAGTCGCCTTCAGGGCAGACTGTAGCGGATTCTTGTAGTGAATCTTCTTTGCTTAATCCTCTGCAGAGTTAAACTGCGGCTGCGATGTGAAAAAAACTAGTTCTGTGAAAGCGCTTCGCTTTGGTGGATTTAAGAAAAATGAAATGCTTTGAAAACCTCGTTGCTCTGTTAAATGCTATACAAGCAATGGTTCTTCCAGGTGCTTTGACATCTCCTGCTTGATGCATGCTTGCTATTACAGTTAGCATTGCTTCTTGCCTCTAACGTGTGAAAGCTGCCTGTGGTTTCTTATAAAGCTGTCTCTTAGAGATGCTGTGCAGTACCATGAAGTGGGAGGGGCTGCGGGTTGAATTTGTCTGCCCATAGGGAAAAATCTGTTTTAGGGGTAAGGGAGTTTACAGAATTGGTTCATCACTAGTTATTAATAAGTAGATATTTTCTGTTCAACTCAGCAGGGTCTGTTAACTCTCTTGAAAGTAGGGGGAGCAAGTGATAGCGTCAGGTTTGTACTGGCACTGGTGGTGACCGCTGTCCTTCCTCTCCTTAGGTTGGCTGCACTGCCTGAGAAACCCCCTGCCATTGATTGGGCTCACTACAAGACTGCTGTTGCTAAAGCTGGCATGGTGGATGAGTTTCAGAAGAAGGTCCGTGTCTTTGTCAGCTGAACATTGTTACTCTATGGAGGCTTAAGCAGGGAATATCTTTTAGTGGAAAGCACCAGAATGAAGGTGTTTTCAGTTTTGGCTAGTAGCTTCCTTTGTTTTATGTCCTGCAGATCAGTCACTCACCTGAAAGAAAGAAAACTCAGTAAGTTCTTTTGTCTGTAGGAGCGAATTTGAGTAGTGCCTCTCCTGAAACAAACATTTGGTGTATTTCTTTAATTTACTGAATAGTAGAAAATGATAAGTGCAGGTCTGCAGACTAAGAAATGTGCAAAGCCAACTTTGATGCCTGTGGGGTTGTCATCCCATTTAGAAATGAACCGGAAAAGAATGAGCCAAGCATTTGCTGAAGGTCACACGATGTCACTGGCATCATGGAAATTGGCTGCTATAAGACCAAAATAACCAAAAGACAGATGTGGAAACTCTGAGGAAAATCTGTCCATGACAGGATACGTCTTTGGTGTTAGACTTCCTCGTGGTGCTGTGCTTTGCTGTGTGCAATGCTGTGATGAGTATGCATGGTACAACGTGTCCTGGTGATGATGTGCAATATGTAATAGCTCACTTTGAGCATACAGGTGAGTGGTGCTGCTTGAGAAATGTGCAATCAAGATGCAGAGATCATTTTTTAAAAGCTCATTAAGCTATGCGTTTGTGAGCATGTTGTGTCATAGGAAGAGTGGGAGGAACACTCCCCTGCTGCTAGGGAGAACCACCTTTCACACGCAGGGTTGTGTAAATCAAACTGTTTCAAATTTTTCTTTGCTTTCCAGTTCACTGCACTGAAGGTCCCTGAACCAGTGGATACACAAACTGCCAAAATTGATGCCCAAGAGCAGGAAGCTGTAAGTGTTTGAACTGTTCCTGGATGCCAGACTTGTCTCTGAGTCCTGTGAAGATGGGAAGGGGTGAGAGGGAAGGTGTGTTCTGTACTGGCGTCTGCACAGGCAGAGCAGCTTGAGGGTATGGCTTTCTGGTCTTTCTTTGCATGTCTCTGGCTTTTGGCTAAGCAAAAGATTTTTTGCTTTGGGAAGGGCTTGGATTTTGTTCAAGATTTTGTCCGCTTGTGTAATGACAGGGAATTGTAACATGAGCTTTGAAGGTGGTGTTGCAGATTCACTCTAGATTGACATCTTTATTATAACTATGTTCACCATGCCCTCTTTTTTCTTGCAGACCAAGAACATTGTGGAGTATGTGAAAGCTTCCAAAGCTCGTATTGCTGAGTATGAGCAGCAAGTAAGTATGGATGTTGCTTTGTGAATATTCTCTTTAACCCTGCTTGGCACACTCTTTTTCTTTCCTGTGCGTGCTTTGCTTTTTCTTGCTGATGAGTGACTTGTAACATGTTTGTCTCTGCTCTCACTTCAAGCTTCAGAAGCTCAGAAGCATGATTCCATTTGAACAGATGACTTACGAAGACTTGCATGAAGCTTTTCCTGAAACCAGACTGGACAAGGAGAAGTATCCATACTGGCCACACAAACCCATTGCTGATCTGTAAACCGGCTAGGAAACAGTTTATCTGATGACTGTCAGAATGAATTATCTCTTAAATAAAAGTGTTTTCCCTCCTGTCTGTGGCTTAGATCTTTAGCTGTGAGGTTGCAAGGTTTTGAGAAATATGGAACCACGCAGCAATGCACAAAGAGGGTGGTTTTCATGGATTTTGTCTCTTACTGGTGAACTGGTTTTATGGCAAGTACTAAGATCTGAGCTAGATCTGATACTAACATTGAGTCCTCACACAACTTTTACCTTTGTAACCACGTAGTACAGGGAATGTGGCTCTGCCTTTGCAGATGAATTGTTGCTTAGGAGATAGACTTGCACTCCAGCGCCACAGAATAAGTTATGTTTAGTAGTGATCTGCAGGGTGATGTCTGTCTCAGAGGTTTTAGAGGCAGTGTGCTGGGGCTGCTTTCCAGGTTGGCTGTGTTGATTTAGGTGCAGTTGCAATAGGAGTTTAAGGAATTAGGTGAGATACACAAGGTCAGAAGTATGATATTTTGAACATCCCAAGCGTTGCTCCCCCATAATCCTGGTGATCCTACCAGTCTGGATTTCTGTATGTTCCAGATCTCACTGAAAATCACAGAAACAATAGAACAAAGGCTTCGTACTTTGATTGATTTATTTAATTATCTGAGTAGGAATTCTTAAATGTCTCTCCTCAAAATGAAAACATCTCCATAAATGAAAAAGGGCTTTAGGTCCCTTTTTCTGAGCTGTAAGAATTACTATTGGATAGAATTAAGGTATTCTCTTCGAGTTCCATTATAGCTTTATCTAATTACTTTGTTAGCCCACGGAGCACTTTCAGAGTATATGTATGTTTACAGAACTAGAGTACAATGCACACACCATGCGGACTTTATGCTCTGGTTGTGGTTTGGTTTTTTTGTTTTTTCTAATTTAGGCAGCTGAAACAACTGGTTTGAATTGAGCAGTAAAAGAAAATACAGCAGAGGGCTTGGAAGAAATAAAATGGAGAAGGACTGAGCGAGCATCGCACAGAGCTGGTCCCTAACTGCTCCATTTTATAGAGATAACAGCAAAAAAAAAGAGTGACAAGAAGAAATGGCTGTAGAGAAGCACCTTCTCCAGAACTATCAGAACCGGGTCCTGTTCCGCCGTTCTCCAGCAGGGCTTGGTTTGCTGTGCTTTTTCCTGGGTCTTCTTGGTAGGATGTTTCATGGCCTGGTTTGTCATTGGTGGCTCGGTGTGCACACCTGCAAACAACAAACACTGGGATGGGGCAGGATGGGGTGGCTGCCAGGGGCACTGACAGGAGCGCTTCTCGCCCGGAGGAAACCCACCTTGACTCGAACCTGCAGGTAAGGTGCAGGCAACCCAGCCTGCTTGTTTCGGAATTTTTGGGTTGCTTTACCTTGTTGGACTGTTCCGAAAGCTTTGCCCAAGCGTACGGATTTGTGCTGATGGTGCAACAGGAAGAAGGTGTCCAGCACAGCCATGATCATCAGCAGGAAGGTGCCTAAGAAAAAGAGCACTGCAAAACAACAGGAAAGCAAATAAGGCATTTGATAACGGGCACGATTCTCTTGAATCTGTAATCTCCCTGAGAAAGGAAATTGCTGTCTGCAGCCAGCTGGTGAAGGGTAACTTTTCATGATGTCATTGCTCATGAATGTGCCCGCGAATGCCCAGCGATTTTCTTAGAGTTGTTACCTGAGTAATATGCAGGATGCCATCAATAAAGATGAGTACCTATTATGGGCGGTTCGTTGGAGGAAGTTGGAAGCATGTTGTTGAGAATCACAGCTAACATGGAGCTGCCAAGAATGATGGAAATCTGGAAACTGATTTTCTCCTCGAGAGAGCTGGGTCCAAACAGCACAGCCATGTCAAGCAGGTACAGGGCGCACGTCGGGAGGATGAGGTTCAGAATATACAGAGTGGGTCGTCTCTTCATGGAAATCTGTTGAAGAAGATGGACAAAATTTGAGTAAGAGATAACACACTCTTGAGTGGATGCTTACTCCCTGATGTGGAAAGCTACCTTGCTTCATACTTTTTTTTTTATTTAATATTAACACAAAACAAAATGAATTTACATCAGTACCATATAGGTGATCACAGGAAATTCTCCATCGTCCATTTCTTCAATGTACTCATTGATGCTCAGGTTGGTGAACTTCCATTCTCCATCAGTTAGGAAGAAGCTCTGGCTGTTTACCAGCATCTCAGCTGGTGTCCGTTTCACTTTCAAGGAAAGGTCTGTTACTGTTTGTAAGAGGAGAGGAGAGGCAGAATTGAGGTTTCTATCAGAGGTCAGTTATTTCCTCTTCCTTTCCCTTCCAACCAAGGTTGCATACACATGGTTGTGTTGGATACAACCAAGGCATACACATGAGGAAAGCAAAAATCAGATGTAAGCAAATATCAGGCTTGTCACAGCAAGGCTGTCGTTTGGCTTGTGAAGACCAATTCCAGGGGTGACTACCCAAACATCTCAGATGCTTGGAGATGTGTTGCCAGGAGAGACGCCAACACATCACAACTCTGAGCTTATTTTCCCTCTAACTAAACAGCACTCCCCTAACAGCAAGTGGTGCTGATAAGGGAACCCAGGAGTCAGCTAGGGCCCATCTCAGCTGTTCCTTTTGCACATTTAGCTTGTTTGTGCTAAAACATAGCTTGCCACTTACCTGGGTAGAGAAATGAAGCAATGCTCATGTTGCATGTCTGGGTGTCGAAGGGGAACTTGAGGATCATCAAACTGCATGTTAGTGTGACCTGGAAGGGAAGGCTGGCGTTGAAGGTGCCGTTGTGTGTGACGACAATGTACTCCAAGTTGGACTTCTGTTCGTTCACTCTGGAGGAAACAAAACCGAAGAGTGACAGAGCTGCAGGATGCTGCAATGATCCTCAGTCACACAGAAGCTGGGGCAGTAAGTGTCCCTTTCGGATGGGTCCGTGCAGCCACGCAGACATGGAATGCAGTGGAAAGGGATGCGTGGGCTTTGTGGGGAAGGGGCTCAGTGCTGTCTCTGCATGCTGACTCCCATCCTTTCCCCCTGCAGCCAAAGAGCTGGGGGGCCCATGCCCAACACTGCCAGGGGTGACTTTCATCCCACCACATTGCTTGTCCCCCCAGCTGCTTCTTCAGGATTAATAGAGCCTATATGTTGCATTTCAGGAGATGCTACAAAATTACTCACCCACAAAGTGCTTTATATAAGCTCTTTCCCATTAATGTAAGATATGAGATTCTTGGTTACGTTTAGTTTATAGGAATAGCTAGTAACTGAGTTTATCCCATTTCCTGCAATATTACCAAATGGTTTGCATCCACAGTATTTTTCTTAAGCTGGTGGATAAAAATAAAATGAGAGCCTACCTTTCCAAAATGAAGATTGGGGGTGACCAGAATGAATCCATGGGCAGAACAATTTTAGAAATGTTACAGAAATCCCGTGGGTCCCAGGTGGCAAAAGTGTTTGTCCACTCCTGGGTAAGGAGGTAAAGGGGAAAGGTGAGTGCTGGGCTCGGACTCAGCCATGTTGCTGGGTGGCACAGGAGAGAAATGCTCTTACGGAACCTACCAAGCTCAACACGAAATAAAAAGTGACGGTCTGGAGCTTTTCAGCCTAGGGAAACAAAATGGAAGGTATTTAATTGATTTTCTTAGCTGTACCCTGTGCAGAGCTCTGGGGCTCTCCGCCACTGCTTCTGCCATGGATGGCACAGACTGTGGAAACTGAGCTTGGGAGGACAGGCTGAGTTGTTCAAAAGTCCTCCAAGCCTTAACAAAAAAAAATGTTTTCAAGCGGCAAAAAGCTGAAGTGGAAGCAGCTGGAACACCCAGGTCTTGCTGGCCCAGTCCTGCCTTGCAGAAAGATCAGATCTCAATCTAACAATGGCACAGATTTCTGTTATAAAGACTTGTCAACATTTGTGCATCCTTACCACAGACAGAATTGCTATCAGCATAAAATCCATCATCACTTCCATAGGCTCCTTCCAGTGAGTCTTTGGCAGTATGTGCGTGTGCAGCTTGCTGTGAGAGGAGATGTTCAGGTACTCAATGACATCATAGTAGGTGCAGATATACCTGGGAGCAGCTCCTAATGGCAAAAATATACACTTCAATTAGAAAAGGATCAGGAGAGATCTCAACCTGTGAAAGAGACATGTATGAAATGAAGGGTATGGGGTGTAGGTATGGAAAACATCATCGATCCCTTCTTGCACAGATGAGAGCAGAGCTCTTCAAAGCTTTTCCAGTCCTCTTGAACTTACCTGTCCCAAGAGAAAGTGTGAGCAGAGCTATAAACGCTCGCTGCATCTTCTCCTGCTTCCAAATAAAGAGGCAGATGGTACCGGGTACCTTACCAGCAGTTCCAAAACACGTCATTTGTTATGCAGAAGTTGATTTGATATGTACTAATGAGGGATTGGTGTTTTGTAAACAGGAGCTAGACTCTGTATTTGCATTGGAAGGAAGACTTTGCTAATGGATTGACGCACTCAGTGGGCTCTTGGGAGTGGTCTTTAGTTGTGGTAAAGGAAAAAGAAGAGCATTAAATCCAACAATTTGAGGGAAAGAGAAGAAAGGGCTCATATCCATAAAGGAGAGGCTGGGAGCCAGAGCCACTCAACAGCAAATCTTGTCTCATTTGCAGGACCAATGCAACACCACTAAAACAGAATAGGAAAATTAGCTCTGGGGGGCAGAGAGGCTGCTCTCCCTGTTCCCTAACTGCTGAGCACTTTGTGGAATCACTGATGTTGTTTCTGCCTTCTAGTTGACACTCTGTCCTCCTGAGGTGCTGCTCCAACTCCTCACTGTTAAGATTAAAGTCTCAGAGATGTTTACTTTATCTCTCCCTCCTTTATCTCTCTCCTCTCTGCCTGTGTTCCTGCTGTAGCTCCAATGATGCCTTCAGGTGCACTGAGTGACACTTTGAGTGTAGGGGAACAGCCCCATTTACTGTGTTCTTGGAAAATCCCATTTCCCTGGGATGTTGCAGATGGTACCTGAGCACCTCCAGTTGTGTGGGACAGGAGGAGGAAGAATATGGGCCATACAGCAGGGTTTGAACCAAACAGAAAG